CCAAGTACCTTGACACATGCTCCAAGTGTTTCAAGTACAAATGACAAATACACATAAACATTGTCCCAACTATCCCTATACAAACTCCACTTACCCCCACACAATTCCCACTACCCCCACTAGGTAAAAAGATATATAAAGGGTACCTTTTCCTCTTCCTTGCCAATTCTAAGTTCCTACACTTCACCCTAAACATAATGACCTTTTAATGATAAAATGTAATATTCCCCCTCTAGGGTAATTCCTACAGGCAAGGTTATCACTATGTGTTTATTTAATAAAAATTAATCTATATACTGTTATTATCTCGAACCATTTGCCTACTGCTGTGTAGTAAAGTGAACTACTATACCTCTACCCCGTATATATTTGCAATAGTCAATCACTGTACTGGGTGATCTTGTTACTTGGTTGTATTGTACCAAGAAGGCTGCAACCCTGTAACAATAATAAAGACTATTTTTAAAAATTTTAGTTATGAATATATGTTTAATCTGTGAAAAAGGTTTTAAATTACTTCAAGGTTTAAGACTTTATCAAACAATTGTGTACAAATACAATAAAAGACATAAAGATCTTGACAAAATTCTACTTCAGACAATAACTGAGTTTAAAGCCACACTAGTTGCATTTATTCACTGAAAATTATCACTTAATTTTAAATCTATTGGAAAACAAACACTTATTGTACCCTGTTCTGAAAGTTTATTTTATTCAATTTTTATTAGACATATTCATTATTATTCAAAACGCATTAGCAAATACAAATGTATTTTTTATGGTAATATAGCATATCGAGAATTAGCCAAAATTTTTAATAATCCAAATTGGGGAAAAAAATTTTATAATCAGAATCAACAAACTTATATAGTTTGTAAAGATTCAGATCGATTGCTAATATTATTGAACATAGTATAGAAAAAGAAGAAATTGATCCATTAGAACTTTTGGTTCAAAATAATTTACTGGCTAATCAACAATCTAATAAATCTAAAAGATTACAAGTTTTTCAAGAAGAAGTTTTAATAGAATGGAAAAAGAAGCAAGTTAAAGAAGCTGATGATAATTGTTATTATATAGAACAAATTCATTTCTCATTTTTTACTTCACAAGCACAACTTTTTAAAAAATAGAATATCAAAATATATTAAAATTTATAGATCTTTAAACAATTAATAAATCAAATAAAAATTTTCAAATCGAATAATCAATATATTAAGTTTTTTTTATTAAAAACACACTTAAAAAAAAATACTATTAGAATTATTCTAATATTATTTACAGATTTATGCAATTTTTACCTAATTCACACCTTTTTCATAATTACTAACACTAACTGCTGATATGCCACTCCATCAAAAATCAGTTCTACTTTACCTAACACCTTTCCAAGTCTAATATCAAATACTACATTTTGCACTTGGGACTAATATATTCATATCTCCTCAAAGTGTTATCACTTTTTTAAAATATTTTATTAAATTAATCAAACAAAATGCTATTGATGGTGTGATATAATCTACTTTAAGACCGGATATTGAAAACTTTTTTCAATTAGCTAATTCTAACATCTAAATATCTATATTAAATAATAATTATTCTCATATTTAAATTATTAAATATTTCCCTCAATTTGCTATACTATTCCATAAAAATACCAAAGTATTTTTAAGTCATGATAGTACGGCTAGTAATCACGAATCTATATATACTGCAACTCCAATGCCTGTATATATACTGCAACTCCAATGCCTGTATATATACTGCAACTCTAATGCCCATAATCGCGAATCTACAGATACTGCAACTCTGATGCTTACACTTTCTATAATGGGTGATCAACCTAGAAATATCGAAAAGTTAGTGTTGATTCATATAGCTTTGAGAATTTTAAAATTGAATTTACAACTGTTTTTATAAATTCTGAGACATCTGGCAAAATATTTGCCGATTTGGTAAGTTTGTAATTTCAGTAATGATCACTGCTGAATCAAAACTTATTAAATCGGTAAATATTTGGTCAGCCAATTTTTTGTCAGATGTTTCAAAATTTATGAAAACAGTTGTAAAAGTTGATGATATAGTAACAATTTTTGGCTAAAGCTAATGGCAAAAGAAAACAAAAAGATTTAATTGAATAGTGATGTTTCAATAACCACATTTGAACCACCAATACTTATTGTTGAGATTATTCTTGATCCAAATTTTAAATTCGTTATTATGAGATTACACTTACCATAATTATTATTGCCTTCTGCTATGATTTTCATAGTCACTATTGTTGTTGCAACCCTTAGGTCCATTCTTTATATAAGGATTGTTAAGAGAAAAAAGAATTTTTATGCTTTTTTTGGGGAGGTGTTGCTGTGAAAAGTTTCATTCAGCCTTTTACTGATCTTATTCTCATGTATCATGATTCTGAATCTTGTATTTTCTTCATGCTTATTGCTTGGTAAAAAGGTTGAATTGTTATCAATGAACTGATCTCAAAATTGAATTTACAGCTGTTTTTATAATTTCTGGAGCATCTGACAAAAAATTGACTAGCTGAATATTTGCCGATTCGATAAGTTTGTGACTTCTGTAATGATCATTGCCAAATCAAAACTTATCGAATTGGCAAATATTCGGCTGGTCAATTTTTTGTCAGGTGTTCCAGAATTTATAAAAACAGCAGTGAAAGTTGATGATACAGTATTATAGGCTAAAAGATTATTAAAAAAAAAAAAAATTGCCAATTTTTGGCTAAAGCTAATGACAAAAGCTGCTAATTTAATTGAATAGTAATGTTTCAATAACCACCTTTTGAACCACCAATATTTTATTGTTGAGATAATTCTTGATCCAAATTTTAAATTTGTTATTATGAGATTATACTTACCATAATTATTATTGCCTCAAGAAATCGCTTCTGCTAGTCACTATTGTTGTTGCAACCCTCAGATCTGTTCTTTATATAAGGATTGTTAAGAGAAGAGTGAATTCCTGTGCTTTTTTTTTTTGGTGTTGCCATAGAAAGTTTCATCTAGCCTTTTTCTTGATCCTATTCTCATGTATCATGATTCTGAATTTTGCATTTTTTTTACACTTATTGCTTGGTAAAAAGGTTGAATTGTTATCAGTAAACTGATCTCAAAATTGAATTTATAGCTGTTTTCATAAACTCTGAAACATCTGGCAAAAAATTGACTGGCCGAATATTTGCTGATTCGATACGTTTGTGACTTCGGTAATGATTACTGCCAAATCACAAATTATTAAATCGGCAAATATTCAGCTGGTCAATTTTTTGTCAGGTGTTTTAGAATTTATGAAAACAGCTGTAAAAGTTGATGATGCAGTATTATAGGCTAAAAGATTATTAAAAAAAAAAAAATGCAGAAAGATTACAATTTTTTGCTAAAGCTAATAGTAAAAGAAAATATAGAGTGGAAGACTTATTATTAGTTTGAGTACCTTGTAATTCTGGTGTCTCTTCATCTTGTTGAACATACATTTGCTTATTCTGTATTGTGCCACCATCTTGAGATTCATCACTATTACTACTTTCATGCCTCTATCTTGAAATTTATCACTATCACTACTTTTGTGCTCATCAGAAATGAATCTTGTAAAATATGATATTGATCCTGAAAATAATCTACATTTATATGTCTCAAATCTTCTACAGTATCTTGTTGCATTTCATATAAAGGTTCAAGGATTTCTTCTGAACCTGTCTGTATATTATTGTTATCATTCTCTAAATCTTCATCTGATTAATACATAACCCGTTCATTTCTAGAAATATACATAACCAATGTCATAAGCTGATGATGTTTTTTCATTATCAATTCCTTGACCTAACTGTTTCTTATTATTAAAGAATACTATACAAGGTGCTTCAAAATTGTCAAATGGATGATTAGAAACAAACTTCTACCAATAAATAACAATAGCACAATAATTTTATTAATATTAGTTTTCCCTTCTGCACAAAGTTTGTTAAGTAATGCTTCTAAACTGGAACAGTATTCCTGTTGTTCAATAGAAGTACATTTTTCATAGTACGAAGACATATCAGAAATCAATTCTTTGTCTAAATAATTGATGATAAATTAAGAAAATTCAATTAGCTTTTAGTGAAAAAAATCATTATCATTAATATTAGTTTACCACTCATCTGAAGGTCTCGCTAATGTTGTGATATGCACTCATTATCATTACAATGACCACAGCTTTGTGACTCAAACATACACATTTTACAATCAACATTATAGTCATGACTATATATAGTTAATTTATAGACATGTTTTCTGATTTTTTGTTTGTAACATGAATGAAATCTATATGATCGAAATCCCTTAAGTATACTATCATAAAGTACAAAAGATAAATTACTCTGTTCCTGTGGCTGTCTAAAAATATAAAATATAAGTGTGATAATAAGCTGCCAATTTAGTTGAATAATAAAATTTCGACAACTACCTTTTGAACCACTGTAATTATTATTGCCTTGAGAATTACTTTTACTATGATTTTCATAGTCACTATCATTGTTACAACCCTCAGGTTCACTCTTTATATAAGAATTGTTGAGAGAAAAGTGAACTTCTGAGCTTTTTGACCCATTTGATAAGATGCTTGATTATATAAGTACATAGCTTTAGCAATTCCAAATTTATAATTTCATCCTATAAATATATATATATAAAAAATTTACCTTCCAATAAAGTGGCTCGTAAGACTCAATATTTGAAAACAAGAAAGTGCCAATAAACCTGTGATTGAAATCGTGAGAACTATACAATTTGTGTGATCATATTTTAATCCTAGTAAAATATTACACCAAGTCCAGTAATGTCTGATCACCTTATACTTTTGTCTATAGACACTCTATAAAGAGGAGTTATAATAGTTTAGTGATTAAAGTTATTATTAAAATGTATATACAACTAGATCTAAAAAAAAACAAGTACATTACATTCTTCTGTCTTGTGAAATTCATTAAACACATATTACTTTGAATTTTCTGTTGATAAGCTATGTAATATTACAGTAAATATATAAGTTAAGTTATCATATCTTATCTAAACATAAAAGACTCAAATAGCACCAAACTGCACATACAATATGTTATATACTTTGAACCAATAAAAAGCATTCAACTATAGAATTTAATCTAATTGATCATGAATACTATATACATATAATTAAGAAACAAGATTATAAACACCCACCCTTATTTATCCAAATAAATATAACTCTACTTAAGCTTATCAAAAAAATATAAATCTATTTTATACAAAGTTTTTTGACTTTTCGTATTTCCAATAAGTCACTATAAGTATAAAAAAGCATTTTGTTTTTATATTTAATAATTTCCTGAATTGCTGATTTTCTTTTTAATAAATAACCACTATTTTTAAGAGTTTTTCAAAAAAATGCTAATACTTGAATATGATTTTTTTTCTCTACTGCATTATACGAAAAACTTCCTAGTCCCTATTTTGAGTGTTTTTTAAGCAGTTCCCATCTGTAATATACCAAAGCATGGATATAAGGGGTTACTTGGCTTGGCATATATAAATCTTGTATAAAGGTTTTATTATTTAATGGATCATCTTGAGAAGGTTTTAAAAATAACATAAGCCAATCATATGCTTGTTGTTTAAATTGTTGCGAATCTGTTAAAGGATTAAGCATTGCTTTATATAGATTATAAAATTCATTCTAAAGTTGACATAATATGCGAGCCTGAGAGAATCGAAAAAGTAAATTTAAATTAAATTCATTTAAAACCTTCTTCTTATCATCACCTGATAGTGAAGTATGTTTTCAAATACGTAATTATTCTTCTTTCCAAAAGTTAAATACATTTTTAATTGTTTCATTTCCTTTATAATTACTTGTCGAGTTGTATTATTAAAAAGGTCCTTTTCTTTGATTTCTGCTAATGCCAAAATCCAAAGTCTATCAGTAATTCGCAAAAAAAGATGAAGTGTATTGAATACAAAATGATTAAGAGGTATCATGTCAAAAAGAGGTGGCTGAATATGATCTGAATAGCTGTTGAAATTTGCTTGTAACTTTGTTATTGATTTGGTTATTTTCCAATTATGTTGAAGTTCTGCATATTGATTTTTGGAACATTTATACTAAGGACAAAAATATTTTGAATTAGCGCTATTAATTCCTAAACATATTCCTAGAAATTTCTAGTCAGAACTGAAATAAAGTTCAAACTTCCAAAGAATATTAGCATACATTAATTCTTCATCTTTAAAAATTCGTAGCTCTTCAAAAAATGGTCCCAATATAAAATATAAAGTTTCATATTTTTCAGTACCCGAGTACAAAATTATAGTATAATAGTAGTCAGGATGATGGTGATGTAACTTATCATTTAAAATTATAATAGCTACCATTACTTGTTTTACCTTATGACCAACGTTTCTTCTATCTCCTGATATTCTAAAATGAATTGTAGGATCAGATGATTGTAAAATATTCTTATACATTAATTTAGGAATTATATAAAGTAAAATATCTTTAGCACTACATTGTACTTCAGTTTCAACAGTATTAATTGCTTCTTGAACTATTTCAGAATCAAAAAGATCTGATTGTTCTGTTATATAAATTGTATTACTTGCATTAGCTTTGTCTAAATCAATCAAATTAAATTTGATTTGTTGATTCATTTGTTTGATTATATTATTTTGTTCATCAGATATAGACCATTCTCGTGATAAAAGTTGTTCTATAGTTGCTAATTTGCAATATGCATCTCTAGAAATTTGCCTCTGATCAACTGCCTGAACTACTGCTTGAAGTTTTTTGTTTTGTTGTAATTTTGTTATCTAATCCAAATTTAATATGAAAATCATATTTATTTACTAAAAATTCTAATGTTTTAAGAGCTAAATTATCTTCAGAATGATATATTTGTAATGCTTGATTATTAATTATTAATAATGATTTAGCTGATAATGTTCTAGCACAATTTTCTAAAGTCATTTTAGTACATTGATTGGCAGGTTTAATTTGTTTAGGTTTTTTATATGACTCTCTAACTTTTT